ATGTTGCACACGACGACACTCTATGCAGAATGCGCCCCGACATCCTGCGCATCCTGGGGCTGCCAGGGGCGCCGACGACCGAAGAAATCCAGCATGCAGTCAGCAACAAGCACCGTCACACTATACAAGTAGTGGAAGTCGGCTACTGCTCTGACACGCAGTGGCGGGCCAAAGTGGCAGACAAACTGCAACAACATGAACAACTCATGATAGCCCTAGAGCAGGCCGGTTGGCAAGTGGACCGGACACCTCACATCATTGTCATTGGAGCACGCGGCGCCATCTATCACAGTGGCCGTGAGGCCCTGCTGAAACTGGGTCTCAGCAAAACGCAGGCTAGCAACGTATTGATTGACATCCACCTGCATACAGTGCAAGCAGTATACGACCTCTCACTGGCCAGACGGCGGCTCGAGCGGGGCCACCGTCAAGTGGGGGTAGGCTAGTGGCCAACCCCCCCACACCCACACCCAATGGTAGCCGGCAGGGTGGGCCTCCGGGCCTGCACCCAGCTGGCTTCCTCAATCCACGCCCAAGGGCGTATTCTTTCTTTCTTTCTTTCTGGCGGTGCAGGGGACGGAGGCAACGGGTTGGGAGGTGGAGGAGAAGGTGGCGGTGGGCTAGGGGGTGGCGGGCTGGGTGGCGGTGAAGGGGGCGGAGGCAGCGGGCTGGGAGGTGGCGGCGCACTGCAGAAAAAAGCGGCAGGCATCAAGCGTTCAAGGGGAGGCAGGCGGACTCAGGCGGCGGCAGACGCGCAGCTGCAGCTCACTCTGTGTGCCGCAGGTTGTCTGCAGGGATGACCTGCTTGCTGATGCCTGGCCCTTCCCAGGCCAGTTCAATAACGCCGGCGCCCCCAGCGTCAAAGAAGTCCACCCTGCTGGCAGGAGGTGGGGCAAGGCCAGGGGTGGCTGAGGGAGGAGCACAACATGGCATGGTGCAGCATGGCGCAGCAATGCTGCCCGCTCTGGCGTAAGCAACGCAGCTGCTGCCCACCTGATGGGATGCCAGCCAGCGGTGAGGGAGGTGGTGTTGCTTTTCTCCTCAGCGCCATGGATGCCGTCGTTGTCGACAAGGAGAGCATCATCCAGCCACACCCGGCTGCCATCATCTGACGTGATGTACAGAGTGTGCTGCCCGTCGGACGGGACCACCAGGTGGCCGGTGTACTGCAGGAGCCAGGAAGGACGCGGTGGCATGTCAGGCTGTGGCACGCTCCTAGGGGTGGGCAGGACAATGGCGGCAGTAGCAGCACGTCACTGCCTGCCAGGCAAGCGAGGAGGGCCCCGCCCCGCTCGCAGACATGCACCGCCAGGTACGAGCGTCCGTAGCGGGCAGGTGTGTCTAGAACAGAAACGATTGGCTCCACGCGTTGAGAATCCAGCGTGAGATCAGTGAAGTCGGTTGGAAGGTAGCGGAACTGCCACGGGTAGTAGACAGATGCCAGCAGGCCGCTGCAGCAGCAGGCCGGTGGCACCCTGTGTTACCCTGTGTTACAGTCACCCCGCTATGATAGGCCGCGTGAGCAGACCTTGGGCAGGGGGCACACGTGATCAAGGGGCATCAAGAGAGGGGGTGGACCATGGAGCACCCTCTCCATGGCTCCGACCACCCTCCCCCCAGCTGAGCGTCCCAGGGTCACCCCACCCTGGCCCCGCTCCCCGTCCTGCCGGACACGCAACCCCCACAACGTGGTGGGGGACGTGGGGATCCTTAGCAGCTTAGGCCTGCCAGGCCGACGGGTGCCGATGCTGGTGCGGGCTCCCGGCGGCAGGCAGCGCCGCCGCCGGGCACTCAAATGGCATGGGGCACATGGGCCCCCATGCCCGCACATCTCCCAGGCACATGAAAATACCAGAAGGCTGCACATGTAAGGGTGCATGCATTGCAGGCAGGAGTGCAAAGTGGCCTGCCGCGGCGGTCGGCTGTGCCATTACTCAGTCAGCCGCCGCTACCGTGCCGGGCTTGGCGTTCCCATGCCAACATGCCGGCGTGCCATCGCGCAAGGGGCCAGTGAGTGTGTGAGGTGGAGGTGGGGGTGGTGGGGCTGCCGCTGACCGTTGCTTGCTGACGCTGACGCTGCTCTTACCTGCGGGGGGAGGGGGTTGGTCGGGAGCCAAGGCCGGGCAAAAGATGCCTGGGCCCTACTCAAGGGAACCGAGGGGGATCCTCA